CTGAGGCTGGTTACAGTGTAAGTTTTACACTACCTTAGTTTGGGTCGGTTCCCCCACCCCCCGAAAAAAAAGCAGTTTGTTTTTTTTTTTTAATGAAGGAATAAACTGGTTCGTTTTGCCGTTGAAGCCTCTTGTACAATTAAGCAGGAAATTCTTAGTTTATTGTCTATTCTTAGTTTAATAGCGAATGTCATTTTAGAATAGGACAGACATTGAAAGAAATATGGGCTCTTTGCTTCAAATACTGAACAATTCCAGGACAAAAAGTCTGATCCGGACAGCCCAGGGCATTCCATCCACTCTGCAATCACTGTCAGCTCTAGGACGTCATCGCGTGTCCCGCTGTCACATTCACACTAGTCACAAGCAGGAACGCTTGCCTGCAGGCCCAGCCATGTGATTTGTAAGGCCCAATGCGAAATGACAATGGAAAGAAGGGGAGAAGTGTCATTACAGGTACGAAAATAGCCAGGTGTGATGGCGGGTACCTATATCCCAGCACTTGGGAGGCTGAGGAGGATCAAAGCTGCCCTATAGTGAGGTCTTGTCCCCCCAGAAACGTACTAAAATATAAGCTCCTTCACCTATGGAATTGCTCTGATGTGTTCTGGTGTTTTAAAATGTGCTATTTTAGCCTGGTGCCAGTGGCTCAACACCTAATCCTAGCTACTTGGGAGGCTGAAATCAGGAGGATTGACGTTAAAAGCCAGCCTGGGCAAATAGTTTGCGAGACTCCATCTTCAAAATGGGCTGGAGGTGTAGCTCAAGTGGTAGAGCACTTGCTTTGCAAGTGCAAAGTCCTGAGTTCAAACTCCAGTCCCACCCCACCCCAAAAAAGTACTACTTTAATGCCTTTTCAAGTAAAGAAAAATTAAAATTATTATCATTACTTTACCATTTTCTTTATATTATGTAATACTAGTTTTAAATACAGGTATAAGGACATTTAGCTTGTATGCATAATCACTGAAATGTCACAGTATTCATGTCCCAGTATTTCATAGCTCATACAAGCATATGTATTTTGTTCTTGCTATAACAGTGGAAATGCAGTACACAACTAACTCACCTGTTTTTATTTTACTTCTTTTTCCCGCAGTACTGGGGATTGGACCAGGGCCTCCTGTATGTTAGGCAAGCACTATACCACTTGAGCTAAGTCCCCAGCCCTTTTTTTTATTTTGTTTTTGAGATTGGGTTTCATTATCTTTTGCCCAGCTGGTCTCAAACTCTAAATCCATAAGTTTTTATTTTATTTCTTTTTTTAAAAGAATTTTACTTCTTGATACATGTACATTCTATCAACATTCTATGGAATCTGGCAACACTGGGTCTTTTTTGGGTTTTTTTTTGACAGTACTGGGGTTTGAACTCAGGACCTCACACTTGCTAAGCAAAGGCTCTACCACTTGAGCCACTCCACCACCCTTTATTGTGTTGGGTGTTTTCAAGATAGGGTCTCTCAAACTATTTGCCTAAGCTGGCCTTGAACCACAAGTCTCCTGATCTCTGCCTCTTGAGTAGGTAGATTACAGGCATGAGCCATCAGCTCCTGACAACATTGAGTCTTCATGAGCTTCCACACCTTGTAGATCCAACAGCATTCTGTGCTAGTGGGGCATTACAGTCACCTAATATGAATGGGGTGGCAACCATAGGAAGACCCATACACTGCACCTTTCTCCTCGGGTCCTGCTCATGTTTCACTGACCTAACAGACTTCACTTAGACAAAACACAAGTTCAAATGTAACATTGTTGGATAGGGGTTTAGCTCAGTGATACAGCACTTGCCTAGAATGTGCGGCCTTGAGTTTGATCTCCTGTACTACACATACACACATACACACAATCTATCTATCTATCTATCTATCTATCTATCTATCTATCTGTCTATCTACCTACCTACCTATCTACCTATCTATTTAACTGTGCACACTCATGCATAGTTAAGAATTTTAATACGGTGACAGCATATTCATATATAAATATGGTGACCCTGTATGACTGACTGCATTACTTGCATACCCACAAAGGCAGCCCTGTCTTAGAGCCTTACAAGTGTGGTAGATCGTGAACATTTAATAAATAATTGAGGGCCAGGCACAGTGGCTTATACCTATAAACCCAGCTATTCAGGAGGCAGGGATCAAGGATTGTGATTTGAGGCCAGTCAGGGCAAAATTAGAAGACTGTATCTGAAAAAGCACAAACTGGGGGCATGGCCTTAAGTGGTAGAGCACCTGCCTAGCAAGCACAAGGCCTTGAGATCAAACTCAAGTACTGCCTAAAAATAAAAAAGTAAAAATATAAGTAGACAAAGAGACTGAACTAGTACCCATTGCATGCTAGGTACATGGAAGACTGATAAGAGATCACAGTCTAGGGGGAACAAGCAAAGCAAACATAATCACAGTTATACTCAAGAGTGCTATACCTGTACTACCACCCTGCCCTGTTTGCCCTTGGCCTACCTGAAGTTCTGCATTTCTAATCCAGTTATTCAGGCTGTAACCTCCCAGGGTTGAACTTTGTTTCTGTTTGGATGGAAATAAAACAAGCAAACTGACTGACCTTTTAGAGATAATAAAGGATTTTATATCAGTTCTTATTTCTACAGTAAGCATAAATACATAAAGTACCTCTTTTTTTCTTTTTTTGCAGTGCTGGGGTTTGAACTCAGGGCCTTCACCTTGAGCCACTCCACCAACACGTTTTTGTGATGGGTTTTTTTGAGATAGGGTCTCACAAACAGTTTCACAGGGTTGACTTCAAACTGTGATTCTTCTGATCTCTGCTTCCTGGGTAGCTAGGATTACAGGTGTGAGCCACCAGGGCCAGCTCTAAAGTGCTTTTTATTAACCTCATTATGGATAAATATACTAAAACCAGGCATGGTGTCATGCCTATAATCCCAGCACTGGTTGGGGGAGGTATTAGTCAGTCTCTGCTAGGTAGCAAGACCCTGTCTCCAAAAAAAAGACACTAAATGAATATACTATTCATTGTATAGAGTGTAGACTTTGACATGTTCATAAATAAGTACCTGCTGGTTGCCTCATAAATAATATAATAAAATGTTAACATTTGGGAAATCTGAGTTAAAAGTATGTAGGAATTTTTTTCTGTGGTATTAGGATTTGAATTCAGGTCCTTAAGGCTTGCTAGGCAGTGCTCTACCACTTGAGTCACTCCAGCAGCTTTATAGGAATTATTTGTAATATGTCAATCTGAAAGTATTTCAAAAGAAAATGAAAATGTCTTACTCTTAGAAACAATTTTAAATTATTCAACTCAAAAATGTATTTAAGGTAATTGAAGTATGATTATATAGCACTTGGGGTCCATAATCAATAATTATTTATATTTAATTTGGAAGACAGATTATTATTTATTTGTTTTTTGGTGGTTCTGAGGTTTGAACTTAGGGTCTTGCACTTGCTAGGCATACTCTACCACTTGAACCACGCCCCCAGAGTTTTGCTTTAATTATTTTTCATATAGGGTCTAGAGATTTTGCCTAGGGCTAGCCTTGGACCAGCAGTCCTCCTGCCAGTGTTTCTTTACAGGTCTGTGCCACCATGCCCATGTTGTTTGTTGAGAGGCGGTCTCACTAACTTTTTCCTTGGGTTAGCCTCAAACTGCCATAGTCCTGATCTTTGCCTCCTGAGTAGATTAGATTATAGGAATGCACTATGCCCATCTCAGCTTATGTATATTAAATAACAAAAGGACAATAAAAACTAGTGGTTGATAAAGTGCTAAAGTAAAGGTCACTTGTCTCAGCTTCCCTGGAGGCTAAGGAGGTAGAAGGATGCCTTGAGTCCAGGAGTTCCTGCTACCTGGGCAACATAGGGAGATCTGTCTCTTACCAAAACAAAACAAAACAAGTTAAATATCAAGTCCTTAATGTATGCCATAGCAAATTTATGGATGATACATTGTTTGGAAATGTCATCAAAAGTAGAAATCCAGTTTCTAAGAACCTATGAGTCTGGAAGATTTAAAAAAAGTTTGCAAGACTATTTCAAGTGATTGTGAGGGACCACATTTGCTGAGGAAGCATGATAAAACTGAGACTGCTCAGATTAGTGAGGTGTTCTATTAACAATTTTGGCTCATGTTCCAGCAGTGCTCTTAGAAACAAATGCCCTTAAGAGTGTCTGTGCCCTTGTTTCCTGTTGTGATTGGTCTGGGTGAAATTCCTCCACCCACCTCTTTTTTTTTTTTTTCTTTTCCCTGTTTCATTTTATTTATTTTACTGTGCTTATATACCTCATCACTTGAACACTTCAGGTAAGTCTTAATCTCTACATATGTATACCTATTTGCTATAATCTTTATGTATGTATACCTATTTACTATCTTAGTGTAAGATAACAAATTGGTTATATTATCAGAAAAATTGAATATTAAATCTGCTTGCATGAAAGTATATTTATTTGTAACTTAAAGTAAAAATTTGAATTTCAGAAGCTAATTGTGCCATAGGTTTACATTTTTATTGGTAACTTAAAATTTCTTTTGTAAAAATAATAGTTTAAGAAACTTAATTTTTAGTTTAAAAGTCAAATGTAGATAAGACACAAATTATCTATTATAGAAATTCTTAATATCTGTTGTTTTATATATATATATAGCTATACATTTCATATATGTTAAAACATACATACTTTTGCTACAACCATTTAAACATTTATTCATAATCCTTAGTAAGTACTTTTTGCTTCACGACCCATTTTCCTGAGGTGAAGTGGCTCAAGTAGCAAAAAAAAAAAGTACTGACTGACTCATTTTCCTTAGGTCATCCATTAGAAACTTGCAGGTTCTATCAAGGTAAGTGACCAAAGAAATGAATCGTAAGTGCTTTCTTTTTTATTTCTCCTTTGGCATTTTCTCTTGTCAGTCTATTTTAAATATTAATCTTTAAAATAACAGTATTGGGCTAGAAGTATAGCTCAGTGGTAGAGTGTTTGCCTAGTGTTCATGAAACCCGGGTTCTATCCCAGCACTACAAAAAGGAAAACAGTAGTATTAAGAGAGGTCACTTGTCGTTGCTCATTTGGAATACTGAATGCTAGCATCTATGGTTTCCCTTGTTGTGTAACTAGACTGTGAGGATAGAAGAGTCTAAATGCCCTTTGCTCTCTTTGGGTAACTGAACTCTTAAATGCTCATTTCCAGAGCAGTGACTGATCAAGCTTGGTGCACTGTGAGCTTTTGTGATCATTTTCCAGCAATAGCTTTATTTGTACAATCTCACACCTGAAGAAGAAAGAAAAATGGCTTGTACTGAATTTTCTTTTCATATGCCAAGTCTAGAGGAGCTTGCTGAAGGTAAAAACAATACTAACTGCATTTCTAAGAAGTAGTCCAAGAAAAAAATTAAAAGATTCTAACATATATATGTAGCCTACTACTTATCTTTACCTGTATTTTACTTATTGGAATGGTACTTTTGATACAGAGTTTTCCATTTCATTATCTGTTCTATACTGATTTTATTGAGAAAGTTCAATTTCTGGGGTTGTGTTTTAGGGGGATGGGAAAGTTCAAAATTCTGTCCCTCTAAAAAAGCTAAACTCACCATTTATAGATTCTTGATGATACCAACTTTTACAATGAAAATGACTATAGTACTCCGAGGTTTAAGTAAGTATAATGCCCAAAGAGTTGCAGAATTTTGCAATAACTTTCTGCCAGTTACAATATTCTGCAGATACATAATCTCCTATTGTGTTTTAATCACGTTCCCAAGCATGCTTCTTTTTCCTGGTGTCCTGGAGTTTGAATGAACTCAGGGCTTAGAGCTTTTGGAGAGACATCCTCCAGTCCCCTCCTTCTGACTTGAGAGACAGCCAGTACTCTGCTTAGATTCCTCTCTGTGTGTTTTATGTATTTTACCTTATTAAACAATTTAAAGCAGCTTCCCGAGATCATTTAGAAGGAGGGGAGATGGATGAGAAAAGGAAAAATGGGGACATAAAATTAAGCCAGGAATACTACTAATCCAAAACTGTAAAGTCTGTTAGAATTCTGACATTTACCTGACAGCCTTTTAAGCTTTATGTAGAACTCTCCCTTATTTCTCAAGATTGTATTTTCCCAAATAGTTAATCAGTTCTCTGTTCTCCTAATAAGAATGAAGTCAAGAAATATACTCATTTTTTGCTTTGTTGTTGCTTTCCTCTTACAAGCTTCCTGTTTTTTTTCCTAATTGAGTAGTAGCTAGTAAATAATCCATCTTGCTAGTATTTTTTGACCTACCAGTCATTTGTTTTCCCTTACAATACAGCTAGGGATCTTTTCTTTCAGTGTCTTTCTCTCTCTCTCTCTCTCTCTCTCTCTCTCTCTCTCTCTCTCTCTCTCTCTCTCTCTCTCTCTCTCTTTTGTATGTGTGTGTGTGTGTGTAGTGTTGGGATTTGAACTCAGGGCACTCTACAGCTTGAACTACACCTCCAGTCCATTTTGCTCTGGTTGTTTTGGAGATAGAGTCTTTCAAACTGTTTGCCTTGGCTGGCCTCAAACCATGATTCTCATGATCTCAGCCTCCCAAGTAGCTCCCAGGTGTGAGCCACCTATGCCCAGCTTATGTCTGGTTACTTTAGTTCAGCATTTGTCTGTAACCTTCATTGAAGTTGTGGCATGTGATTCCTTACTTTTTAAAAAACTTAAATATTTACATTTCAATAGGTTTTTAGAATCCCTTCCCCCAAAGAAAGCCCTCACAGGTGTGCAGTCTGTTTATCTTCAGTGGTTGGTAATCACTGTGGATAAAATATTTATGTGCTTTAGTATATCTTCTAATTATACCAAAGTCTAATTATATTCATTAATAAAACCATTTCTGGGGCTGTAGGTCAGTGGTAGCACATGTGCTGAAGCACATGGCTAAGGCCTTAGGTTCCATCTCCAACACCATCAAAACAAGAAAAGAGCCGGGTGCCAGTGATTCTGTAATCCTAGCTATTTAAGAAGCAGAGATCAGGAGGATATTGGTTCGAAGCCAGCTGAGGCCAATAGTTCTAGAGACCTTATCTCAAAAAAAACCATCACAAAAAAAGGCTGTTGGAGTGACTCAAAGGGCCCTGAGTTCAAACCCCAGTACCACACACACAAAAATTTTTTCCCCTTTTTTTATTACATAAATTTAGGCTAACAGTGTGACACATAGAAAATTTAAAGGAATACTTGGTATATGGTGGCCATATTTTTACCTAATGTTAAATAATCCTTTTTTATGTCTTTATTAGTTATGCAAAAGGGGCTAAAAGATAACTTTGCTGATGTGCAGGTCTCTGTAGTTGATTGCCCTGATTTGACTAAAGAACCATTTACCTTTCCTGTAAAAGGTAAGCAGATTTTTGTTTCTTGTTTGTTGTGTTTTTACATGCTTTTGGTTTTCAATCATAATCTTTTTCTAAAGCCAGTGTTATTTTTATCTATAAAAAAACTATATTGTTACAACTTTTAGGCTATATTTTGACTAATTTCTATGCTTATTGCTTTTAGATGTTGGAAATTTCATTTTATACCCATGTGGGAAAAGATTGTGTTTTATGTACTTTCAAAACCTTCACTGGCTGCATAGTAGGTACTTAATGGGCTACAATCTTGATACCACATGAAAGTTTTGTTTTTAATTGTTCAAGTGACTTTTATGGAAACTAACTTTACTTTTTAGTTTTATTATTTATTCAATACTGGCTATATTTGATTCATCTATTAAATACTTCTAACCCTTTAACAAATTTGCCATGTTACCATCCACTGTTTGAAGTGAGAAGGGAAGGAAAATAACATTGGTTGAGTAAAATAGTCAGTTTGTAGATAACTATATTTGATGGCTTAGTTTTTACAGTGATACTGCAAGGTAAAATACTAACTCCATTTTATAGGTGAGAGCTGTGAGGGCTGAGAAGACTCAATGTGAATCATAGGATTTAATGCAGGTCTATCTGTTTCAGAAGTCTAATCTTCTCCCATTACCTTACTATGATGAGTTTGGAGGTAAATGCATTATTCTCTTATTATGAAATGGACATCTTTTATTTAAAGGTTATTTGCCATAGAATTCCTGGAGCCTAGTTCTGTTCTGACACATACAAATTTCATTACCTGGAATAAGCCGCTTAATGTAGCTTACCTCAGATAGATTAAAATTAGGGATTTCAGATGACTGTCCTTCTTGGGTGTTTGCAGCTTAAACATTCTGTAATTAATGTTTGCATTCTAGAACGTTTGTGTATCTGATAGCAATTTCTCTTAGCACCTTGAAATTATTTGGAATAGTATTGTTTTCTTCAGCTTCTTCTTACTTTGTATAATCTCTCCAGGTTTTTCCATCTATCTTGTGGTTTCAGTCATTACCTGGAGAAAATCATTTTTAAATCATATGTGTAATAGATCTCTTTTTCTTAGTTATAACTCAGTATTTCTGGCTGCCTGTAGGATATCTCACCTGTAATTTCCTCTTCTTATCTCTACAGTCACCATGGTTAGCTATTATTTCTCTGCACGCTAAAAGAATTCCCTGTTTCTCTACACTTCAGCATCACTGTCACTTAATGAAAGTCTTGTCTATGCATTTCTGCTGATTCCATGGAAAACATTTTCTAAATCCCCAGTTACAAAAGGGACCTATAAGACTTTTATGTACCTATCTGCATAGCTGAAGAAATAGAGCAATTAAATGTACTTTGCTGTGTAATATGTTAGCATAAAACTGGCAAGACTACTTTTTCTCAAACAAATGATAATTATTTGCCACCTTACACTTTTAAAAAGTTCCTTTGTCCAACTCGTTCTAGCTGTATTATGATAATAATTAAAAATGTAAGCAGAGGATGGAGGTGTAATTCAGTGGTAGAACTTGTTCTCAGTAGACTCAAGGCTTGGGTCAGGAATCCCCAGCACCAAAAAGAAAAAAAACAAGTAGAAAGCTCCTAGCCTCTAAACTTATCTATTATTAGTTGTCATTTGCATAACAATCTTGGGAATAAACAATTTAGGAGAGAATTTCCCAATGTGGATCTAAAGAACATATATTCTACAAGAATAAAACGATTTAAATTTAAAAACAAATTTAGCCAAAATAAGAAACAAGCACACACCCCCAGACAAAATAGATTTTTAAGGGAGTAAGGCATTATAGATTAATTCTAGAAACCTTACCCAAACCAAACTTTGGCCCTATTAGTTGCCCTATAGGTCAGTTATGTCAAGCCATGCTTCCATATGATGATATTGGGAACACAGTTCAAATAGGACAGAAGAGGCTGGTAGAGTAGCTCAAGTGTAGAGTGCCTGCCTAGCAAGTGTAAGGCCCTCAGAGAAAGAGATATTATAGTCAAGTGTGATGGTGCACACCTGTAATCCCAGTACTTCGGAGGCTGAGGCAGGATTGTGAGTTTGAGACCATGTTGGGCTATGAAGTGAGATCCTGTCTCAAAAAAAAGAAGGAAGGTAAAAAGGGGTGGATGAAGGGATGAGGACAGGAAAGAAAATGAATTACTGTAAACATTTTAGATTTCCATAGCTATTACAAAATACCTGATAACCAGCCTATGAGGAAAGATTTATTTGGCTCACAATTTTAGAGGATTTGGTATGGCAGCTAGTAAGCAGAGAGAGAAAGAGAAAGAGAGGGAGGAATCCCTTTTATAACAAAGCCCCTCCCCCCAAACCCATTAAGGTATGAATCAATAAGTGAATTAATCTGTTCATGATGTCAGCGCCCTTGTGATCAATCACCTCCAAAAGGCCCCACCTCTGGAACACTGCTACATTGGAGACCAGGCCTTCAAGCATGAGCTTTTGGGGAACATTTAAGACAAAAACTGTAGCATTTTTTTCCAGTTTTTTGTATAGAAAATTAAATACCTAATAATTTCTGTGTTTGTGTATGTATGGGAAATACTTGAAGTCTGAAATAAAACATGTCATTGTGTTAAGCTATCCTCTCTACACAGGAATACCAAGATTGACCAATTGTCTTCTGTTCTTTTCAGTTTATGCCAGTTGTACAAGCAGAGAGTGAGCACAACCCTCCTGTGAATGGCAGTTACTTTGCCCGTGTTAACCCTGAAGATGGAAGGTGCCGTCTAGAGAAGTACAGTGAAAAACATCATGATTTTGGATGTGCATTACTGGCTAATCTTTTTGCCAGTGAGGGCCAACCTGGCAAGGTGATTTTTTTTTATTGTTTTATTATTCATATGTGCATACAAGGCTTGGGTCATTTCTCCCCCTTCCCCCACCCCCTCCCTTACCACCCACTCCACCCCCTCTCTCTCCCCCCTACCCCCTCAATAACCAGCAGAAACTATTTTCCCTTATTTCTAATTTTGTTGAAGAGAGAGTACAAGCCATAATAGGAAGGAACAAGGGTTTTTGCTGGTTGAGATAAGGATAGCTATACAGGGAGTTGACTCACATTAATTTCCTGTGCGTGTGTGTTACCTTCTAGGTTAATTCTTTTTGATCTAACCTTTTCTCTAGTTCCTGGTCCCCTTTTCCTATTGGCCTCAGTTGCTTTTAAGGTATCTGCTTTAGTTTCTCTGTGTTAAGGGCAACAAATGCTAGCTAATTTTTTAGGTGTCTTACCTATCCTCACCCCTCCCTTGTGTGCTCTCGCTTTTATCATGTGCTCAAAGTCCAATCCCCTTGTCCTGTTCTGGCAAGGTGATTGTGTTCATAAAAACAGCATTCTTCGGATGTTCTCAGAAGAGAGTTTTCCTAAGAAAATCATTGATACCAAAGTGAAAGCTCTTACATAGCCCAGTGTCATGTTGCCCTGAATATGAAAGATCTGAAAGTCTAATTTAAAACTGAAGTTAGGAGTTTGAGGCCAGCCTGGCTATGCAGTGAGACCCTGTCTCAAATTAAAGAATACTTAGCAATATCTTTCTGAATAATGAAATGATAACAAAGTATTAATTTGGGGGGTGAATTAGTCACATTTATATGTACCCTGCAGAAAAAAAATGCTTATTTTTTGGTAACAAATAGGCAATTTAATTTGCTTATTTCTGACTAATCACATATTGTGCTAGATAGAAATGGTAGTAGCAAAAACTTGTAGCAAGAAAATAATAAGGACAATTTCATATTTTTCTCTGTTTGTATGCAGAAATGATGATTTCAGTGTTAGCATTTGTGAGATAGCTACTTCAGCTACTTTGAGAAATGAGGTAGAGAAGTAAAAATACCTAACAGTCAAAACATAGTCCAGAACTTTATAGGAAAATGTAATCATTTTTACCTCACCCCCATGTTAATCTCTTTAAGCCAGGGAATTTTAACCTTTTATCACCATAACATATATATTAAATCTCTAGAGTTCAAATTAGGAGAAATGAAGAAAGCATAAATAAAGACCAGGCATGGTGGCTCATGCCCTTAATCCCAGCTACTCAGGAGGCAATGATCAGGAGTATTGTGGTTTGAGGCCAGCCAGTGCAAAAATTAGTGAGAACCCCATCTCAACTAACAAATGATCAGTGGTGGTATATGCCATATCCTAGGGAAGTAAGGAAGGAAGGGAAGAGAGACCTACTATTAAAGTGTGTGTGTGTGTGAGAGACAGAGAGAGAGAGAGAGAGAGATGTGTAGGTGCATATGTCATTAAGACTCAGAGGACTGAGACATTTCAACTCAGATCTGGGTACACTAAGCAAATAAGAGAATGTTTACCTTGCTGCCACTAAATTATATGGTACATTTTGGTAGTTTCCGACACAAAATTTTACAGTTTACCCAGTGGTGTGTATATTTATGTCTTCTGTAGGTCATTGAGGTAAAAGCCAAAAGAAGAACTGGACAGCTCAACTTTGTGACTTGTATGAGACAGACTCTGGAAGAACATTACGGAAACAAGCCCATAGGGATGGGAGGCACTTTCATAGTGCAGAAGGGAAACGTGAAGGCTCACATTATGGTAAGGGCCTTGTGTGTATGCCTGCATGTATTGGGATGTGTGTGCACGTGCTATGCTCTCAGGATTTTTAGATATTTATACCTTTAAAGATGCGCTCAACAAATTCTTTTACTGTGAGTGTATTACTTTAAAATTTAAATGACAAACCATACTGTCAGTCAAATTGTGAGGTTAGAGTTCTTTTTCATGTTAACATATTAGAAGTTTTCTTTCTGATGTACTTTTTTGTCTTGTTTTTGGAGTTTTGTTGTTTTTGATGGTACTGGGGTTTGAACTCAGGGCCTCACACTTGCTAGGCAGGCACTCTCTTACTTGAGCAACTCGACCAGCCTATTTTGTGCTTGGTTTTTTCAAGATAGGGTCTCTCAGACTATTTGCCCAGGCTGCCTTTAAACTGTGATCCTCCTGATCTCTACCTCCTGAGTAGCTAAGATTATAAGCATGAGCCAGTGGTGCACAGCTTGTTTTTGCTTTGTTTTTGCAGTGCTTCAGATTGAACCAAGGGCCTCATGCCTATTATTGAGCTATACCCTTCTATTTTTAGTTTTTTGAGGGAGGAGGTGGTACTGGGGTTTGAACTCAGGGCTTTATGCTTGCTAGGCAAGTGCTACACTGCTTGAGCCTTGCCTCCAGCTCTTTATGGTGTGATTGTTTTGGAGACAGGGTCTCACTTTTTGCCCAGGCATGCCTGGGATGACAGGCATACACCACCACACCCAGCTTTTCCCACTGAGATGGGTTCTTGCAAACTTGTTTGCGCAAGCTGGCCTGGCACGTACTACCAGGCCCATCTTTTTTCTGTTGAGATGGAGCCTTGCAGACTTTTTTTTGCTCAGACTGGCCTGGAACCACAATTCTCCCAATTTCAGCCTCCTGAAGATGATAGTGCACACCGCTGTGGCCAGCTATTGGTTTGGATGGAGGTCTTGTGAACTATTTGTTGTGACTGGCCTCGAAACTTGCACCTCCTGATCTCAGCCTTCCAAGTATTTAGGATTGTACAGGCATGAGGCACTAGCACTCAGCTCTGTTTTTAATTTTTTGAGGGCACACCATATCATCTTCCATAGTGGCTGTACCATTTTACATTCCTGTCAGCAGTGCACAAAGATTTCTGTTCTATCCATCCTAGCCGGTACTTATTTTTTGTTTGTTTGAGTAGGTAGGATTTCAGGTGTGAGCCACTGACACCTGGCTTTTTTTTTTTTTTTTTAAAGACAACATCTCACTGTATAGCCTAGGCTGGACTTGACTTATGATCTTCCTGCCTGAGCTTCCCAAGTGCTAGGATTATAGTCAGCCACTTCTATTTCAGTTTCATTCATTATTTCATGGACACTTAAGTGATCGTGTCCTTTGATGAAAAGTTTGTGATTTTTTTTTTTTTTTGCAGTAGTGGAGTTTGAATTCAGAACCTCAGTTTTTGGGATTAAACCAATTCTTGGGATTAAACCCACGGTCTCACATGTGCTAGGCAAACACTCAACTCCTGAGCTATATCTGCAGCCCCAGAACCTCACACTTGCTAGGCAGATACTCTATTACTTAAGCCATATTCCCAGCCTGAAAATTTATAATTTTTCTATGTTCCTATATATCTGTTTTGTTGTTGCTCCCTGTGCTTTTGTTGTCATATCCAAGAAATCATGACCAAACCCAGTGCCCTGAAACTTTTCCCATGTGTTTTGTTTGTTTTTTGTTTTTTCAGTACTGAGATTGAACTCAGGGCCTATGCCTTGAGCCACTCCACCAGCTCAAGTATTTGAGTATTTTTGAGATAGGGTCTCATGAACTATTTGCTCCAGCTGGCTTTGAACATTGATACTCCTGATCTCTGTCTCCTGAGTAGCTAGGATTACAGGTGTGAGCCACTGGTGCCCAGCTATTTTTTTGTTGTTGTTGTTTGTTTTGTTTTGTTTCTATAAATTTTAGCTAACATGTGTAGGCCTTTGATCCATTTTAAACTAATTTTTATATATTATATAAAGTAAGAATTCACCTTTATCCTTTTTAAACAATACCCAATTTTCCCAGCACCATTTGTTGAAAAGACTGTCCTTTTCCCATTGAGTGGTGTTAATACTCTTATTGAAAATTACTTGATCCTATATGCAAGGGTTTATTTCTGACCTCTCTATTCTCTTCTGTTGGTCTGAATGTCTGTCTTTAAGCTAGTAGTACACTGTTTTGATTACTATAGCTTTGTAGTTGGTTTTGAAATCAGGAAATATGAGACTCGTGTGTGTGTGTGTGTGTGTGTGTGTGTGTGTGTGTGTGTGTTACTGGGGATTTAACCCAGGGTTTTACACATGTCAGGCAAACACTTCTTCCTCTTGAGTCCCACGCTAAGACCTCTAGCTTTTTTACAAAGTTGTTTTGAAAATTTCAAGGTCTCCTGATATTCTATGTGAATTTATGATGAATTTTCCTATTTCTGAAGCAAAGTCATTAAGATTTCAATAGAGCTGGGGGCTAGCTACTTGGGAGGCAGAGAATCAGTAGGATCACTGTTTGAGGCCAGCCCAGCCAAATAGTTCACAAGACCCTATCTCAAAAATACCCAACACAAAAAACGGCTGGTGGGGTGGCTCAGGTGGTACAGCACCTGCTTAACAAGAATGACCCCTGAGTTCAAATCCCATTACTGCCAAAAAAAAAAAAAGAATTTCAATATGGATTACATTGAGTGTTTTCTGTCAGTTATTGAACCCAGGGCCTTAGAATGCTAGGCAAGCACTTTACCACTAATACCACTGAGCTATAGCCCCCTATTCCGTGATGAGATGATTTTTTTTTTGTGGTACTAATGATAGAACTCAAGGCCTTCCACATGTAGGCAAGCACTCTACCCTTGAGATACTCAGCCCAGCATTGAGTTTTTATTCCTTCCTTCCTTCATTCCTTCCTACTTCCTCTTTATTTATTTGGCAGTACTGGGACTTGAACTCGACCTCTTGCTTGCAAGGCAGGAGCTCCACCACCTGAATCACACACTTAGCCCTTTTTCCTTTGGTTATTTTTAAATAGAATCTTAACATTTGTTCCTAGATGGACCTGGACAGTAATCCTCCCATGTACACTTCCCAGGTAGCTGGAAGGACAGACATGTATCACCACACCTAGCTTTTTAATTGGTTGAGGTGAGACTTTCACTAACTTTTGCCCAGGCTGGCCTCTAACTGTGTTGCTCCTGATCTCTACCTCCCTAATAGCTGAGATTATAGGCATGAGCCACTGTGCCTAATCCAGCACTGAGTCTTTATAGATTGCTTTGGGTATTATTGATGTGTTAATATTAAGACATTCACTCCCTAAAATCAGAACGTCTTTCCCCATAAGCATCTTCTTTAATTTCTTTCAGCAGTGTTTTATAGTTTTCTGTGTGTAAGTCTTTTACCTCCTTGGTCAAGTTTATTCCAAAGTCTTTTATTACAGTTCTTGATGTTTCTACTTAATTTTAGTGCCTTGCTTTTCCCATTCCACCCCATCGTTCCTGGTATCAGTAATGAAGTTTAAGATGGAAGAGCTGGAAATGTAGCTTAGTGGTAGATAGTGCCTAGTATGTGTAAGTTCTTGGATTCAATCTCCAGCTCCCCAGATTAAAAAAAAAAAACTTTTTTAAAGATTAGGATGGGCACATACACGTAGGAAAACTGAGAGGCTATGAAAAAAAAATAGGGGCTAGGAAGAAAGGGAGGGAGGGAGGGAGGAAGGGAAAGGAAAATAGTAATTGACTCATTTCTTCATTTATTTATTTCTAACTTTTAGTTTGTACTAATTGATTGGTTATCCTTTTGAAAACTAGGATATATAATTGATGCCAAAAACAGTCAGTAGAGTATACAACAGAGCTTAAAATTTATAACACTCAGATCATATCTTTAAAAACTCTCAATTTTCAGTAACATTCAGTGTGTTTACCTGTTTAATGATCTTGCATTGTAGCCTGCAGAATTTTCTCCCTGCCCATTGACCTCTGATGAACAGGTGAATAAATGGTTGAATTTTTATGAGATGAAGGCTCCTTTGGTTTGTCTACTAGTTTTTGTCTCCAGAGACCCAGTATGTCTTTGCTGTCTTTTATATTACAATATGCTACAATGATCATGCTTCATTGTTCGAATATTCTTTTAGAATTAGGTACTTTTTTGTTTCTATTGTTTAAGACCTAAGTCTTCAGAATTTTCTTCAAAGTGAAAGGACTATGTGGCTTTCTACCCTATGAGTTTGGAAGATCAGATTTTAGCTTGGAGGAGGTAAAATAGGCATTTTAAAGTAACACCTAAATTCATGCTATTAAATAGTAGAAACACAAGGTGGATTCATATCTCTTATTTGGTGTTCACTTTCTAATTCTACACACTAAAAAAAATTAATATAGACCAATTCAAAGTAAATATCTACCAAAATACTGATTGGTCAGACCTTTTGATCCCAGTGACTCCGTATCTAGGATTTTATCTTTAGATGTATGTGTAACTATATAAAATCAGTAGTTAAAGGATTATTAATGACAACATTGTTGTAATGCCAGAAGAGTTGGAAATAATGTAAATATCAGTTGAGAACTTATGTACATATAATGAAATACTACGTATATAAAAGAATGTGGAAGCTCTCTTATTACCTGATAAACAAAGGTCTTGTTAGGTGAAAAAGAGCGGCATGTAGAACCATGTGTACAGAGTGTACAATTGGAGTTAAAAAAAAGTGGAAGTAAATATTTCTGGAAGGATATACAAGAAGGAGAGGGGAACATTTTACTGAATATAACCTTTTACATCCTTTAATTTTAGAGTCATGTGACTATAATTGCCTATATTTAAAAAGGGGTGGCTGGAGATGTATCTCAGTGGTAGAGTGTTTGTCTAGCACTGCAAAAAAAAAAATCTGGGAGCGGATGGTACATGACTGTAATCCTAGCACTCAGGAAAAAGAGACAGGAGGATAGGAAGTTTGAGGCCATGCTGGGCTACATTGAGACCATTTTAAAAAACAACAAAAACATAATTAAAAAAAACCTTTGTAACAAAAATAAAAAATTTCTCCTTCCCCCTTCAACAGATTCTAATAAAGGTAACTTGAGTGTTTACTAACAAACTACTTGTATGTTGTCCTAGGGGTTTGATTTGCGGCTGGAACACACCCACTTTTTTAGTCGTCATGGAGAAGGTGGACACTACCACTATGACACTACTCCAGATACAGTGGAATATCTCGGATACTTCACTCCCGCCCACTTTCTCTATCGCATTGATCAACCGAAAGAGACCCATTCATTTGGGAGAGATTAAATCAGCCAATGCGTGTTTAAAAAAGAAATGATTAACTAAGGTTAATTAACTAACTCAATACTTGGTATTAATACAAAATCCAATAGAAGTTATCTCAGTACTGAAATCCTTTTTTATTGTGATTTAAAATGAAGGATTATGGTAATATTGTAGATTATTTCACAGTCTCTCTGAAAGAGATTATTGGGAACAAATTTATAATTGAGATGTTCATTTTCTTTTTTTATATACTCACATTTATTGAACCAACTTCATTTTTTTCTTCTATAATATCAGTCTATTTTGTAAACATAATGTTTATACCTTAAATATAAGCATGAACAGGAATAATGTAATTATTCCTACTACCTAATAATAACTTACATTTGAGTAGCATTATTAAAATTTTCAAATTAGTCCCAAACAGCTAAGTGGATTATTTCCAGGTTTTAGAAAAGTCTTTGTTTTTAAATCTTTATGTTCGTTGAATCTTTGTACTGAATTTTAAAAATCCGTTCTAGAAATAAGCATAGTTTTTTCATTGAACAGGGTAGGCAGGAGGAGGCCTTCACCCTTTCTGTGAAGTTAAACCATACTCAGAGTTTGTAATTTGCCTTTCACAAGCATTAGCAATGAGTTGGTTAGCCATGATTCTTCCCTTGTTTGGTTGCCAGTCAGAAGCAGTTTGTACCTTATTGGTTATTTGCAGGAAGAGAAAGAAAAAGAAACAGTATCAAAATACAATGTTGGTAGGAGCATATTTTATTTTCAGGCTCTTGCTGAAGTTGACCACTGTCCATATGAAATAAAAAATGACCCTCTTGGCTGGAGGTGTGGCTCAAATGATAGACTGCCTGCTGCACAACTGCAAAGCCCTGAGTTCAAACCCCATCCTGCCCCAGAAAAAAAAATGAAAATGACACTCTTCTACTCCTTATAATGGTTGAAATTTACCTTGATGTTCTATAATAATCATTAGCCAGAAGTCAATTCTCCAGTCTTGCTATAGCATCAACAAGGTGCAAATTTAGGACTTTTTAATACTAAGCAAATCTTCAAATAATGAACTTTGATTATTTACTTTGGGTGTTAGCTGTAACATGTCTTGATAGTATAAATTGCCAAGTACTATTATTATTTATTTATTTTATTTTTATTGTTTTATTATTCATAGTACATGCAAGGCTTGGGTCATTTCTCCCCCCGCCAAGTATTATTTTAAAATAAGCACTATTTTGAAAGGAAAAGAAGAAATAAAAAATTGATGTATCTCACCTCCAGGCAAAAAACAGCACTAGTATTTTTATTTAGCAAATAGGTCAGTACACTAACTGTCTCTCTCGAGTGTGAACTTCACGGTAGCAAGGTGTTTATTTACCACTTTAGCAGTAGTGCCACTAACAGTGCCTGGCCAAAACAGGCACTCACTACATTGTTGAATGAGTGAATGAGTAGATGATATGCCAGACACTTCACTAGAAACTGAGGATCTGGGTAGTGGGAGAAAACAGTAAAACAAATACACATGAGTGGTATCAAGGGGTACAGATGGACATAAAGGAGGGTTCTGGTTGGTGGTGTCATCTCACACTCCCTGCTGTGACTTGGTTTGCATGTCAAAGCTGATGAAGTCACAGACCAACAGCTTGAGTCCTCATGTAAGGAAGTTTTCTGGGGACAGCAGGGCAACTCCTAAGTTGGTCCAAAATTGACTTGAGAGAACAGGGAAAGGGACTGGCTTAGGATTTTTTGGAGGTTCATGGTAAAGCCAATGTGATGGTTCCTACATGAGGTTTGAATTCCCACAGGTATCAAGAAGGGAGCATCAGGCTCTTTGCTTGCCAATGTGTGAGGCAGAAGGGAAAGGAGAAAAGAGTAAGGTTTAAAAGCTGTCAGCAAACATCAAAATGAAATTAAGACTATTGCACATTTTATATAGGACAACAGGGAAGACTTCTCTGATAAAGAGACACATAAGCAATAACCTGAAAAAATTAGGGACTGAACCATGAAGTTATTTGATGTCCATCCTGGCAAGTTGAAAGGCTCAGTGGCAAGAGTACTTCGTATGTTCAAGAAACAGCAGAGGCCTGGTGCATGTGGCTCACGCCTGTAACACTTGCAACTTGGGAGGCTGAGATCGAGAAGATTGGAGTTCCAGGCCAGCCCAGGCAAATAGTCCACAAGATTCCATCTCCAAAATAAACAGACCAAAACAGACTGGAGGCATGGCTCAAGTGGTAGACCGCCTCCTTTGTAAGTGTAAGGCCTGAGTTCAACCCCAGTCTCACCAGCAAGGAGACCATTTTAAACAAAATAGGATCATTTATATCCTAGTGCATATTTATATATAATATAAAACCTTTATGAAAAATTATAAAGTTATTGAAAATGTAAAAAGCAAAATAATTATATTCATATCTAGAAGATAACACTTAGATTCTTCTAGTATATAATCTAATCAGTGCCAGTGTAATCCCAGTAGGGTTTTCATAGACTCACCTTGATCTCAAAATATGTGAGCTAGTAAAAGACTAACCTAAGCAAAAAATAATTTGAAGACAAGGTCAGGGAGATTTGATATATAGATAACAAAAATAACTAAACTTATAAGTAAAACGGTATAGATTTAGTAGTAGATTCAGCCAATAAAAGAGAAAACCAAGGCCGAAAAGATCCTTGCATGCAAAGACTTGATTTTTTTCCATAGGATCAATGAGAAAGGAAACTGTGTTCAAGTATGGCTGACACAACTACTTACACTGAAAAATCATTTGGATTGGACTGAATACCAGATAAACACCTAGATGTGAATGAATGCTGACACTTTAATAAAAATATTTACAATAAAATACATAAGTATATCTTTATGACATTGGATATGTTTCCTAAGGAACAAAGTAAGAACTATAAAAGACAGATATTATGACATTAATACATAACCTTTTGTTGTCAAACTATAGCTCAAAAAGAAGCAGACTGATACTGAAATCCCAAGTGTTTCCTAGCATAGTCGATGATCAAAGACACTGGACCAAAGTTAAGTGTAAAGCAAGCACAATTTTTTCTAATAGATAGAAAAGAACCCTGAAGGTGGGACTTAGTGAAAGAGCCAAATCAAAAAAAAAAAAGGGCTGAAGTCTAGGAGATGATAAAGAGCACTAACTGGCTTAGGTACAACTATTCTACCTTGAAACTATACTTTGTGATGGCGCCTAGTCAACTTCTCATTAAATCCGGCCACCTGTCCCTCTCTTATCAAACTGGACATTCCAGAGGGCCTGGTCAGCTCACCTTGGAAGTTTGTTCAACTTGTCCTTGGCTTTGGGGCCCACTACCACATTGCGCAGCTGCATCTTGCTATTTAGTGAGAAGCTTGTTTTCTCTGAGAAGTCCATTGTTTCCATGCTCTTTAGATGTCTGCTTTTAAAGTGCCTCTCTCATCCAAAATTGAGTCACTCTGTCATTGCTCCCCTTACAAGACCAGTCAGAAAATATGTTTTCAAAACATAGCTGATGAAATTCAGCTTGCATTCAGAATGCATTAAAGTATCTACAAATCAATAAGGAAAGAGGAACACAATAGAAAAATAGGCAAAAAGTATGAACTGGCATTTGCAGAAGAGGAAAAACCAATGACTAATGTTAAATATTAAAAGATTTTTATTCCAGTAATAGTTAGATGACTCAGTGAACCATCTCATTACAGACAATTTAAAAACTGGAGAAGTACAAAAGTACCTTCCTGAGGGGCTGGCACAGTGGCTCAAGTGGTAGAGCATCTGCCTAGCAAGCATGAGCCCTGAGCTCAAACCCCAGTACATATAAAATAAAATAAAACATTTAAAATGTGAAAACAAAATCTTCCTGCATGATACCAGAGAGTTATAGTGAAGTTTGCGAGATGAGTAAATCTGGGAAAGGAAATGGAACCCCACAGGGCCTGACAGATGTTCAACCAAACATTATCATTGTTTTTAAGCCGTATGACTTTTTGGGTGCTTTGCTTAGCCTAGCAATTGATGACTGTAATTTAAGAAACATAGGAAAGGTTGTGTGTTAGGACTTGAAATATGAAAAGTACTCCACAGTTTCAT